TAGTTGGGGGCACAGGTCTCTGCTACTGTTATTTTGTGGGTCAAAAGCTGAAAAGTTTTGGAACCACTGCACTTTGGTTCCCAAAGTTGGAATTGGGACCCAATTATGGGTCATAAAGCACCTTGAATAATCTCCAGAAATCAATTTAAAGGGTAATAAAATAATTGCTGATGTACTATTTTCCCTATAATTATTACAAAAAAACACAAAATAATTATAAACAAGTAATTATAATTGTGTATAAGCTGTTTAGATTGTCAAAAAGCCTGTGTTTTTAGAGTTTTTAACAAAGTTCGTGTACTCAGACCAGTAATATTTGGGGTCACAAGCTTTTGCCATGGATATTTTGTGGGTCAGAAGATAAAACGTTTGGGAACCACTGGATTACACTATAGAGCTTTTACAGTCATTTTCAAAACGTTTTGGCAAAAAAACACTGAATTAAAGTTTGGAAAAACTGTATCATGACTTTTCAGACATCCTGAAGTTGTCAGTGCTGTGCTCCTAAAGACCCTACTGCAGCAAGGCTGGTAAGCGATAAACAAAACTGAGTGTAACAGCTAAAAGAACAAACAGAAGACCCTGGAGAGCAGGCAGATGAGTAATAAAAGGACTGTGGAGAAACTCCGTGTGTCAAAGTGAATTCTTACAACACGGAACAAAGAAAATCGTGAATCTATTGTTCAGACTTTCAGTTGCTGTGAGCAGCTCCACGTTTTGTCAGTATGAGACAAATAAAAGTTGTAGTTTCTTCACGGTCTTAAAAACAATTGTTGGTGAAATCATTTCAATTTCAGGTCCTTTCAAAAAATAACTGAGCGCAAATCTGATTTTTCTATGCTTGGTCGTTCACATTATAATTTAAATGTGACTTCCATCAGATTCCAAAGATACCAAAAGATGAAAAAGTTGCAAAACAAACTTTAAAGATTTATTTTTTTAGATTGCTTATCACAGTTTAGACACTACAGATAAAAAATGATCTGTCTTTAATTAGTTTACTTATTTCAAAACGTCAAAAATAAAGTATTGCAAGCGTTTCCCACATATTAACACAATGAATCAAACTCCTTTGACATACAGTACCTGAATTTAACACACCTCTAAATACACACTAATACATACTTAATATACTTAATGTTTCTTCTTGTATTCAGTCCACGCACATAGATCCAGTAGAAAGGGGACTTTTGCTGAGCTTGTTGTAAAGGTTGTAGAATTAGGCCATAAAAATGTTCAAACACCCTCACTTCCTTTCACTGAGCTACATGTGCACAACAACACACTTGCACACTCAGACTCATGGATGTACTTCCTCCATCACCACAGCCTGTTTTCAACCTTTTATGTGCCTCTCCCTCGTACTCTTTAAGTTTCATCATGTTGTCACGCTCGCCACTCTTCTTCCTTCCCTCTAATCTCCAGCTGTCACCGGAAACTGTCTCCCCCATTCGCATTTGCACGGCATGTGTGTGTGTGTTTGCACATGAGTGTGTGCGTCCAGGTCAGCCACTCTAATGGAGGTATGACTGTAAGAGAGAGAGAGAGAGAGAGAGCGAGGCCATCGGCACACTTTGAAAAGTGATATGCGTTGTTTAATGTGATAGTCTGATGATTTTTGAAGTAGTGTTCCGTCTAATCTGAGTAAAAAGTACCTTATGATCGGTACCATCAGTCACAGAGCAGGGATGTCATGATTTCTGATCTTTCAGCATTTATTTTTTTCTGTTTTGAAGGTTGCTTTCATGTTTGTTTAGTGATTTTTTTTTGTGTTCAGTGTATTCCATTGCCTTCTTGTGTTTCTATATATCCTATGTCACACCCACTTACACCTGTTCTCTGTTGTCATTTTGCCCAAGTATCTCCACTTTTCTCATCATCCCCAGTCCTTTTAGTCTCCCAGTTTGTACCGATCCTGGGGTCAGGCATTGTGTATTTTTCAATGCCATGTCCAGTTTTCCTCTGTATTATATATATACATACACATATATATACATACACACACA